ATTTTGAATGGTATAAAAGTAAAGAGAGTCCCCAAGCTGTAGCTTCCTTGCCCCTCTTTGCTGGTGAGGGTACTGAATACATGTTAATTTAATAATTTCAGTAGTCAAAAGTAGTCAAGTGATGGGGACAGTGAGAGGCTGTCTCAGCCACCTATTGCTCATTTGATTTGGTATGGCTAAGCTGAAGTTTAACGTCCGGCTAATCCATACCTCCCTTCAGGGCCAGGCTTCAGGGATCCTCATTCAGTATTAATACGTTTGAAACAGACAGTGCAAGTGGACTCAAGACACCATAACCACTTTAACAAGATACAGTTATAGTGCTTAGCCCTAGCGTTTCCTTTTAAGCTTTTGATTCGGAATTTGAGGCTTGAAGTAATTTGGATTTCCTGAACAATAAGCCCAATTTCAATGCAAAGTATAGCATTATTGTATAGATTATGAACAGACCACATATGGGAGATTTGGATTTCTTTGTGGAGTATCCCATAGTTACATTCTGATAAAAAAAAAAAATAGATTTAATTCAGAACAAGAATCGACCAGACACCACGAACACATAGAAGGTGGGGACACACCACTCACCAACCACTGAATACCGCAGGATGAATGCTTAGTGTTCCTCAAACAGAATTACAGTTGTGAACACCCGAATTACAGTTGAGAGCAGCCCTGCCTCGCCCCCTGTGAGTGCCCGAGGGGCTCCCACGGGGCGACGGCGGCACCTACACTCACTGGTTCCAACAAAATGTATTGTTTTCTACCAATAATTGTTTGCTGACTTCACTAACTACTCCCCATCCCCAACTCACACAAAAAACGTTCTACGAATACGGAAATAAGAGTGGTAAACTGCTCGCTAGGGCACTGAGGGCCCGGAGACAGACACTGCAGACCCCGAAGGCGATAGCAAAGGGCTTCAGACAATACTACTCTTCCCTATACTGCCTACCTCCCAACACTACACGCACACACGAAGGAGAGGAGGCTTACACAGCACGGCAAAAAACATATATCGAACAGAATATCACTACAATGCTGACACCCCAAGATATATCTACACTAGAAGAAGATATCACTGAAGCGGAGATACGCCTAGCCATCAAACTGGTCAAACTTGGGAAAAGCCCCGTACCAGATGGATACACGGCAAAGTACTACAAAATGTTCGCAGATAACCTCGTTCCACACCTACTTACACTATTCAACTCAATATACTGCGGAGGCCCATTGGACCCCAACATGCTCCTAGCACACGTCGTGGTAATCCTGAAAGAGGGAAAAGATGTGCCAGTTACAGACCGATCTCCCTGTTGAACGCCGACCTCAAACTGTTTGCCAAAATACTGTCCCTGCGCCTCCAACCCCTGCTACCGAGCCTCATCCACCCTGACCAGGTGGGCTTTGTGGAGGGCCGAGAGGCCAGGGACAACACTATCAAGACACTCAATCTTCTCCACGCAGCCCGAGAGAGACACTCCCCCGCCCTGCTAGTCTCGAACGACACGGAGAAGGCGTTCGACAGGGTCGATTGGTCTTTCCTGAGGTCCACCCTGGAACACCTGGGACTGGGACCCCACATGATGGCGCGCATCTTGGCCCTATATACCGCTCCAGCAGCCCGAGTGTGGGTTAATGGGATTCTCTCCGACCCATTTGAGATCAGAAACGGCACTAGACAAGGGTACCCCCTATCGCCACTACTCTTTTCCATCAGCCTGGAACCGTTCCTCAATGCAGTTCGAGCCCAATCCCGCATAACTGGAATCGAGGGCAGCTGGGGAGCCACCAAGGTCTCCGCATATGCGGTCGACCTCCTCTTCACAATCGCCAACCCGGCAACCTCCCTTAGGGAGCTCACGCACCAATTCGACCTATACGGCACCCTCTCCAATTTGAAAATTAACTTTATGAAATCTGAAATTCTCAACGTAAACTGCCCCCTAGCACTGGCAACGGCACTGCAAACAGAGTTCCCTTTTCACTGGTGCAAAGAAAAAATTAAATACTTAGGGATCTGGTTGTCGGCTGATGTGTCAGACACCTACCGCATCAACTTCCCACCCCTCCTCGAACGAATACAGAAGGACCTCGACTCGTGGCAGCTCCCGCACATTACGTGGCTGGGAAGGATCAGTGTCCTCAAAATGAATATCCTCCCCCGAATCCTGTACCTCCTACAAACCCTACCATATCCCCAAAACCTTCCTAACACAAACCGGTAAAAGACTGACGGACTACGTCTGGGCCCGTAAAACACAGAGGCTGAATTTCGCCACCCTCACCAGACCCAAACTACAGGGAGGCTTGGGACTACCCGATATCACGAAATACAGATACGCTATACACCTTCAGCGAGTGATCAAATGGACACAAGACCCGAAAGACAAGCTATGGATCTCCATAGAGGCAAGCTTCTCACAGATACCCCTGACACTGCTACCCTGGTTGCCGAAATCAATGGCTCTGGAACTACCACGGAACCACCCAACCCTAAATGCTACAATGGCAGTCTGGAGGAGACTGGCGACCCACACAGACGTAGCCCCGGAGCTCTCACCACTATGCCCCATATCTCACAACCCGAAATTCATCCCTGCATCAGACCCCCACTACACTGCTGCCCTGGGCCTACCGACCCCCTGCAGACTGAGGGACGTCTATGACCAAGGCACAATCGCACCCCTGACTATCCTGGTCCCAAATACTCCACACAATATGCTCCTACGCTTCAGATATCACCAACTGACGAGGTTTCTGAAAAGCATACCGACCCTAGACTCGGCAACGTGAACGTTCTCCGTATTCGAGACTGTCTGCATGAACCCCCCCCACACGCAATATCGATACTATACCGCATGCAAACCACCACCACCACTAACGCACCCCCCTTTACTTCACAAAGTATTGAGAAAGGGATCTAGGACACACAATCTCAGCGGAACAATGGACAACGGTGTTTACACTCACACACAAAGCCTCCATCTCCACCAAATTCCAAGAAACAGGATATAAAATGCTCTCCCACTGGTACAGGACACCGGAAAAACTTAGCATGATGAAAACCACGAATGACCCGGAATGCTGGAGATGCGGGAGAGAACTGGGATCCCTCTTCCACCTATGGTGGTCCTGCCCCCTTATCCAGCCCTTTTGGGCAGAGATCCACAAGATACTCACAACCATAACGGAAGCAAACCTGCTCCTCTCACCAGAAACATACCTGCTCCAACTTACACAGATCCCCATCAACAGATTTAAAAAAAGAGCACTCCCACACCTAATGAACGCAGCCCGCAGCCTCATCCCGGGACACTGGAAACAACGCATGGCCCCGACTATCAGAGAATGGATGACGAGGGTGGAAGACATCAGACGCATCGAGGAGCTCATCCACTCCGAAACGGGACACTTACAACGTTACCACGACGCGTGGTACCACTGGCTCCAATGGCTCGCCTCCACCGCACCAATTACGGGGGCCACACAACACATGGCAGTGGAGGCAGACGGGACGGTCCTGACGGAACCGACTGGCGATAATACGGAAGCTGGACCAACGACCCAACCAAACCAAGACGACCACGCGGAGCTGGAGATGCCCAGCGCCCCGGAGGCGGGGGGGGCTGAGGTGGGGACCCGGGACCTGACACCCCCCCCCACCCTCCCGCACCCTCCCCCCACCCGCAATATCCTCACCCCATTAACCTACATCCCCATCCCCCCGTTCCCCCCCATAACACACATTAAAACACATGACCCACTGCTGACAGGCTGACCTGAGAACACAACCTACACATACAGAGACGCCCCCTCACTTGCGAGATAGACTACACACCACAGCACTCGCTAAAGACCCACCACGACCAGCACACGCCGGATATGGGATGAACCAACCCAACAAGACTGCCCAAGCGCCCAATACCCAAGAACACTATACCGCGATACCAGACACCACTCAACCCTCACAACCCAGAACAGTACCCGCTCGACCGATACACCCCCGACGCTAACTGGAGCCTTAAACAGTCACAGACGGACACCAGACACAGAAGTGGCACTCCAACAAGACAACACCTTGACGCATGACACACACACAACCACCGCCTACACACAATAAAGAATAGCGACTAGCACAGAGGGGACACTCGTAGCAAACACACACACAGGACAAAACTACGTGATGGACCCTCGACCTCCAAACGCCCCACTCCTCGACAACTGCTCCCCACCCTCCACCCCAATGGTTCTTGAACAGGCCTACCCTGCTGCCCACACACCCCCTCCACCCACCTCCGCACGCCGTACTCGGCTTGCCAAATCAGAAAACCTGCCCGACACACCACCAATAACCCAGGAGCCACTGAAAACATGACGAGTGGTTGCCATCTAATACCTACCCCATCCAGCAGGCTAGCTGTACTAAGAGAATGCACCACATAGCTCAAAATTCCTACTGTATAATCTACAATGCGACCTATGTCCTTACATAGACCACAACAAAGCTGTACACTTTACTGACCTGTCTAACAAGGCTAGGTGACGTTCCATGAATGCTATTGTATTGCCTGTCATATATTAACAACAATATCTGCCTTTACAACTCAACCCCCGAACTGGCCTTCACCTGCTGACGGTGACATTCCAACATGAATGCTTAAAATTGTTAACCAAATGTCTGAACTATCTGGTCGCTGGCAGCAGCAGAAGCAAACAGCCAAATAGGTGAAAAACCTATGTGTCACTGTCCTATTATACTGAGACCTGCGAGTCTCCTGTATACCTTCACTGTAATAATGTTCTACTGTAACTGTAATTACAACTCTATGCCTTAATAAAGCCTTGAAATGAAAAAAAAAAGAACAAGAATCGACAAAAGAAAACAGAACATATTTTAGACATAAATGACAAAAATGTCCCACTTACATCTTTTTCTTAAAATTCTTTATTTGTGTTGCGCAGGTGAGTACATAAACATTGCAATTCGCCATAACCGCGTACACGTGTATATCATATGTCAAGATAGTGGCTTAGATACTTGCGCATTTTTGTTTTGAAGAGTAGGCTTTTGTTAAACGCTACAACAGCATACATACAGATACATATTGGCTTAGCATTGGCGTATGTGTGTGCACATACACAAACGTAAACTTGCTTAAAAATAACAGGCTGAACTTAAGAATGACCAACACACTTTTTTTGGGGGGGGGAGAAAATAACACAGTAGAAATACTAGTTGCTAGGGTATGTGTTTCAGATCATTACATACTGTAGTCGAAGAGTTGTGACACATACAGATGAATGAGTTAGGCATATCTGAGGGTTTACAGGCTATAGTTGTATAGGATTATATTTATAGGTATGAATAGTCATGTAAATCTAGCAACTCACTGCTGTACAGGCCCGGACTGGCCATCGGGCACACCGGGCAAATGACCGGTGGGCCGCGGTGTCCGTGGGGCCGAGGCCGGCAGGGGAGGTCCCAGGATCTCCCCTGCCGGTCTTTGCAGGGCCGGCACTCTCCTAGCGCCGGCCCCGCTGTTTGCCACAACGGGCCGGTAGGGAGATCAAAGATCTCCCTGACCGGCCCACATGCGGCCGCCGGCGGGGAGGGGGAGAGGGAGGGAGCCAGCCAGCCTGGAGAGAGGACCCGGCGGAGCTCTAATTTGCAGCTCCGCCGGGTTCCTCTCGCGAGATCCGGCGCGTTGCCATGGCAACGACCGGATCTCGCGAGAGTGAACTCTAGCCTCACGGGCTAGAGTTCACTCACCCACGAGGACCACCAGGGAACCCCACCACCCTGCCTTCCAGCATGCCGGACCCCCCCTCCCAGGCTAAAGGTAAGAAGGGAGGGGGGGGGGACATAGTGTCTGTTTTTTTATTTACCCCCCCCCTACACACACACAATAACATTTATACAGCACTCTCTCACACCCATCACACACAGCACTCTCTCACACAGCACTCTCACACCCATCACACACAGCACTCTCACACCCATAACACACAGCACTCTCTCACACAGCACTCTCACACCCATCACACTCACAGCACTCTCACAGAGCACTCACACACACAGCACTCTCAGAGCACTCTCTCACACAGCACACTCTCACACAGCACTCTCACATCCATCACTGACACACAGCACTCTCACACAGCACTCTCACACAGCACTCTCACATCCATCACTGACACACAGCACGCTCACACCCATCACTCACACACGGCACTCTCACACACCGCACCTCTCACATACACACAGAACCCCCCCAACACACTGCACCACACACATACACAATACTTCCAAATATATATATATATATATATCTACACACACACACACACACACACTACACTCTTAAAGGACCACATTAGCCACCCAGACCACTTCAGCTCAATGAAGTGGTCTTGGTGCCAGGTCCTTCTAGGGTTAACCCATTGTTTTATAAACATAGCAGTTTCAGAGAAACTGCTATGTTTATCAATGGGTTAAGCCTTCCCCCAAAGCCTCTAGCAGCTGTCTCATTGACAGCCGCTAGAGGCGCTTGCGTGCTTTTCACTGTGAAAATCACAGTGAGAGCACGCAAGCGTCCATAGGAAAGCATTATAAATGCTTTCCTATGTGATCGGCTGAATGCGCGCGCAGCTCTTGCCGCGCGTGCGCATTCAGCCGATCGGAGGAGGAGAGCTCCCCGCCCGGCGCTGAAAAAAGGTAAGTTTTAACCCCTTTCCCCTTTCCAGAGCCGGACGGGAGGGGGTCCCTGAGGGTGGGGGCACCCTCAGGGCACTATAGTGCAAGGAAAACGAGTATGTTTTCCTGGCACTATAGTGGTCCTTTAACATACACACTCTGGATCCCCTATACACACACTAGATTCCTTGTAAGCAAGCACATACTACACCCCTAAACACACACACACACTATAGCCTGTATGCACACACTTGCTATATCCCCAATACACACATTCTCTACAGCCCATAGCCACATATGCATCACATTACACCACAAACACAACACGACTAAAACCGACCTTATTACACAATACCACACCACGACCAGCTCACTCTACACACACGCAATACCACAAGCAGGCTCCAAATACATGCACAATACTCTTTCCTGGCCTTTTATCTCCTGGTATCCATTTATAGACACCAGAGACAAGTTGCAAGGAAACACAGTGCAAGCATGTTATTAAATTTGTTTGCACTGTGCAGAACAAATACAGGACTTTTTTCTCATGCTAGAGCTCTTCAGTAGAGCTCTGCGCATGGTCTGCCCTGAAAGAGCATTGAACCAACATGCTCACTTTGAGAGGAGGCGTGTTTGTCATTGGTGATGACAAAACACACCTCCTCTGCCCCGCCCCCTTTTTAGTGGGCCGCTGTGTTAAAAAAATGCCCGGGCCGAATTTTTCTCCCAGTCCGGCCCTGCTGCTGTATAAAGGTCAAAGTTTATCCTAGGGGGGCGGGGCCGGGCCGCCGAGCCGAGCGGCAGCCATCCATGCTAGCTCCGGCTCTGGGCCACTTAAATACACCGCAATACTGCACCAAACGCTCACCCAGAGCCGGGGCAGAAACAAACAACAAGCAGGGAGCGGCACAGGAGACAAAACTGCAGGGATACCTGCCAAGCCGTCACCGCGCAGCCCGCACAGCCGGAGCACAATGATCCCAAGGGGCCTACGCATGCAGGACGACGGCAGGAGCCGCGAGACCAGATAGCTGAGGGAGAGAGGGGAGTCCGGACCCGGCCCCGCTCCCCCCCCCTCGGGCCGGCAGGGGTAATCCCGGCCCATGAGTCGATCTCCGGGGACCGGAGGTAGGAGGCCCACACAAGGCGGAGCCCTTTTGCACGTGGAGCTATCATGGCCGCAGAACACACGAGCCACTGGGAGCTACGCAGGGTCGCCAGGACCCACTGAGGCGACGGATCCCACAGACGGACCCCTCTGGGCGGCAGAAAGGTCGGTGGGGAGCCGGCCCTGGCCCCTGGATTTGGTGGTGGTCCAGGGAGGCCTACCCCCAACTCTGTGAGCCCTATGGCGCTGGTGTGGGTTGGGCCCCCGGCGGACCGGTGGCGGGGGGAGCAACCACCGGCGACATGCAAGAGGCCGGAAAACAGGCGAGGCCTACCGGGGCTGGAGCTCCAAGGGGGAACTGCAGGGGTTGGGGAGGTGCAGGGGACAGGAGCCCGGGGACTTCTCGGGGGGGGGGGGCCTGCTGGACTACTGATGTCCCTGAGTGCCCACAGCACTGTGGAACCCTAAGCTGACTGACCGGAGCAAGCCAGGAGGGGAACAGAGGGGATTGGCCGCACCGGGGGAGCTGGAGAGATCCTGCAATAAACACCCAGCGTTGCATAAAGATGCATCCAGGGCATAAACCTGCAAGAGGCCTCATAGAGGGAAGCCAGCTTAGAAGCCTCACAGGAGGCCATTAACCCCATGCTGGACATTTCTCCTCACCAGGCATTACAGCGCCATCTCCGGTGGAGAGACTCATATAATATTGTTTCTCAGATACAGCTCAGCATATACCATGTCGATGACATAATTATTCCTAATATCAATACACTTGATCCATGACATCCTTATTTTCCAATTAGCTAGACACTGCTATACTGTTACAGATATGATGTAATGTTGATGACATAATTATTTCTAATATCAATACACTTGATCCTTGACATGCTTATTTTGCAATTAGCTAGACACTGCTATGCTGTTACAGACAGGATATATCAGTACCTCACGGTGCCTGACTAATATATCATTTTCACCATATATGTTTACCGCATCATACTTATTGGCGGTTATTTAAGCTTAACGAAGCCCTTCATGTTGAACATGCACAGTGCTTAGCATCAGCATCTGCTCGCTTCTATATACTCTCATCAGTAGATCCTAAACAAGTTAAGCATTATTGGTTTGTTTTTGCATATATCTATTTTGTTTTTTTCCTATAGTACCTGCACGTTATATCCGAAACGCCTCTGCGTAGGCAACCATAGGCTTTACCTGCTTGTAAAACAAATCCGCCTCTGCGCAGGCAACCAAAGGAATACTGAGTTAGATCACTGTTGCAGCCCCTGCGTGGGCAATCTTTTGCTTTATTATAAATCAGTTTGATACCTAAATTCCTATTGTGCATAAAATAAAAATATTCAAAACAAAGTTTATCCTACATGTTATGCAGATCGTGAGAGTACATGTTTATCTGGGTAGGGGTGTATAGATCCTCGCTTGTTGTGCCTGCCTGGTAGATCAAACAAATAAACATGGCATCGTTTTGTGCATTAATGGGCTCAAAGTGGAGAGGAAAAGAAAATTAATATTACTAATAAGTGCAGGCAGGGTGATGGCCTGAGGCGTTGTTGCGCCAGAATTTAAGGTATGTTACTAGGTATTGCTATAAGCACAGTGGTAGGCATGGTAACATATGCAAGGCATAAAACAGGGTATTATCGGCACTCCAGTCCAAGTGTATGTATAAAAGGCCCTGGGGAGTAGGGAAGAGCAACCAAACAACAACTTGCCCGAGAGCTCTAGGGGGACACCAGGTGGTGTGGCTATTGCAGCCGTTGCACACTTGCCGAGTTTTCTAGAGGGTTATTCCCCCGATGCGCCTTGGTTGGAGGCTGCTGGCATGTGTGTGCCAAAGTCTCGTGTTGGTCCGGTCTCCTGTTGTCGGGCCTCCGTTATCCGGTAGGAGTGAGTGTGGGTCCATGTGCGTCTGCACAGTTGTCCTCATGCTCTGCAGGGCCGTCTTTATGCTCTTTTTGCCGCGTGGCTCATCTCCGATCTCCTGCTGCCTGTGGCTGTTTTGTTGCCTTCAGCCCTCTGGGCGGTTCGGTGCCGGGGGAACCTGTGCTTCCTCCCGCTTGTCCTCGTGTGGGTGAGTGTGTGGCCCGGTTTCCGGCTCAGCCTCTGGGTCTGTCGGGAACAGGAGGACCTCCAGCTTTTACCAGAAGATTTGGAAGGCCCTGTTCAGCCGATGCTCGATCTCTGGCAGTTCACTGTGATTGCTGGGGAAGCACACTGCCTCCACCATTTTGGGTGTTGAGTCATCGCTTGTGGCAGGCCCCTGTACCATTGCGGCGCTCTTGCTGGGCTGTATCAGGGTCTCCCGACAGTGTACCGGGATAACCCCCTATGGTCTATGGGGGGGGGACGAAGGTCTGGTCTTCGCTTGACAGCAGCCGCCAGTGCCAGTGGGGGAGCAGCCGTCTCCCACACGCTGACCACGCGTGTAGTCCTCACGGGAAGAGCAGGTGCGGTCGTAGCTTGCGTGGCATCTTTGTGTGCCCCCGGGTTTCGCCTGTCATCAGGAGACCGTTTTGGACCGATCAGATCCCGTTTTGGCTTTCTAAATTTGTTTATTTAGTGCCGCTGAGCAGGAGCTGTACGAGTTTGCATCCTCTGCTCTCAGCGGTCAGGCCCTGCCCCCCCACTTACATCTTAACATATTATTTTAAAATAAGTTGGAAATGGAGATCTCCAGACCACGGCCATATTTCCCATAAAGCCACAGTCTTTGGGGTGGCAGGCAAGAAAGGGGCGACACAGCCAGTGAGGAGATCAAAGATCAAACACTCCAAGTAAATACCTTATCGTGCCTATCTCAAGAGAGGTGGAACTAAATACCAGAACAGGCAAAGAGCATTCCCCAGATCAAGGATGATCTATCAGGTTAAGGAGTTTATACACCAGCTCGTGTCATTTAGTTCATCCATGTAATATTCCTGGTTTTAGTGGGTCATTGAGTGCAGCGGTGTCTACACCCAACTATCATGAGTTCATGGTACATAATTCAAGTAACTTTCTGAAGATCCCTGAGTTCACATGCATAATTGTATACACAGAGTTTTAAAGAGAGAGGGGCATAGTCTGTTTGGAAACTATTTAGATGAATAAATGAAAAGTGGCATTTTTACATTTAACGTACCTCTGTCACTTTGCAGGTTTTTGCACAAATACAAAGTGAAAAAAAAATCAATTGTGAGAGAGTATTATGTATGTGTACTTATATGTTCACATGTATATTATATGTGTATTATATTAATATGTATATGTACTGTTTATATGTTATAGTTGTGTTTAAAAGTTTGAATACTCTTGGAAAATTGGTAATATATGTACCATTGTTAACGAAAACATACCTGAGCAGGCAAAAACACATTTCTAATGGGATTCATATTCAGACAAAACAGAAACCATCATCAACATATGTGCCTTTCCCTGATTTAGTGTCCCTGGTTATCTCCACTAGCATATAAGAAGAACAAATAACCTTCTTTGGACAATATATGTATTTAGACCCCCCTGAAGTGGCTCTATCACCTCACACTATCCTTTTTCCTATTGTTTCTCTTCTCTTCCTCTTTCCCAATCATTTCTTCTTTTCTGCTCTTTTTCTCCTTAAAAAATAAAACAAAGTAAGAACTACTTTATCCTATGTATTTTTCCTTTGCTTGACAATTGTAACAAACGGGTGGAGTTTAAGGCAAGCTCCATTTTCCCTGTCAAGCTAACTTTCCCACAATCCTCACATCTATGCTGTCCTTCCTCCGCTGTCTTGCAAGATTTTTGAGCGCCACGCATGCCCAGTCCCATTTTCATCACTTGCACTTTACTTGACATGTGCGGCCACAGCCATCTCCAAAGTGCTCCCCTGTCATATACTGTGGGCAAGAGAAGGCAGTGAAGGCAGAGAAGGCAGTGATCTTATGTCACAGCTAGCAATTTAAAGATAACAGCGCAGAGAATGAGGAATTCAGCACAACAAAGAGGAAAAAGTGAAGGTTAGGGGATAATCTGTGAGGAGGGGAGATTTAAAAAAAAAAAAAAGTTACTCTGTGACACAGCTGCTTTAAAGCGGCACTGTCACACCGAACTCACCTTTGTCCTATGGATTCCTCTTCTCTTCCTCTCTCATGATTTGTTTTTCAATTCATCCTAACTGATCTAGTTTTCTTTAAAACAAAGTAGGGACTGTTTTGTCTTATGTATTTTTCCTACGCTTGCCCAGCTTTGACCCAGGAGGAGGAGCTAAGTCTGCTCCATTTCCTGTGGTTAAAGCAATTTTCCCACAATCCTCACCTCTCCTGCTGCTTCATTCGCCGTTCGAACACAAGCAAAACTACCGAATTTCATCCTAACAGAATGAGAACAGTTTGTCTATTGGTGTTAAGACACAATTCAATACTTTTTGAGACTAAAATCTCCATTCTGCCCTCACTTGCTGTACTACTAAACAGTGAGCAGCCAGTGGTGTGTGGGGCCACTAAACTTAGTTTTCACTCTCAGCCCCCATCCATGAGTGGTGGGTGGAGGCCCCAAGATAAAATGGGAGGGGGGACCTACTACCGCCCCCTCCCCCCCGGCCTCCACCTATGAGCGACAGGTGGGGGTCCTATTGACAATAGGGGGGGACCTATTGTCCCCCCAACATTTACCCATGAGCAGCGGTTGGGGCCCTAAGTTACAAGGGGGGACCTATTGTCCCGTCTCCCCCTTGGCACCCACCCTTGAGCGGCGGATGGGGAACCTAAGCTACAATAGGAGGGGTACCTTCTGCCTCCCCCCTGGCTCCTACCCATGAGCAGCAGGTGGGGGCCCTAGTGACAATAAGGGGGAAGGACCTATTGTTCTCCCCCTGCTCCCACCCATGGGTGGCGGGTGAGGGTCCTAGTGACAATGGGGGGGAACCTATTGCCCCTATCAGGCCCCCACCCATGGGCAACAGTTGGGGACTGAATGTGAAAGGGCACCATGCAGACTGAGCTCCGCAGGGTGGGGAAAGGCTTATAAAGTCTTCCCACACCCTGAAATTTTACTCTGGTTGTGGTGGACCGCCTGGCACCCCGATGTGCCTCCGCCAATCGCTCCTTCCTAGTGCTTAGCGAGTACCACAAGCACCGCACAAGACACCATCAGCACCGTAGTCCCCACTTCCAGCGTTACAACTTGGCTGGGGTCTCGCCGTCCTCCACCCACCCTGGACCAAAGACCAGGATCCAGCTTCCAGTGGGTGAACCTCTCCTACTCCAGAGAGTATAGCAGGAACAGCTCTTATAAGAGCTAGTGATTATAATCCCAGGGGAGTATAGTAAAATAGCAATCCCCAGGATAGATACAGCTGTTTCCCCCACACATGACACAAGGCTCTATGTTGAGGGTAAGCAGGAACTTGTTTAATGGGAGCCACAACTGGCCTTAAATGCAAGTCCCCATGCAATGGGCACTCCCCCCTGGATCTGAGAGTATACCACAGTATAAACAATTACACAACCATATTGGCTCTCAGATCCAGGACACTCCCATACATAATCAGATAATCCCTCCTCTATACCTGGGAGATAATTGAGTTATGGACTGTACCAACTCAATTATCTCTAGGCAGAAAAACACATTTTTATAAAACCCCCAAAATACTTTTAAAACATACAAAATGTTACATCCCCTGATAGCCCAGATCTGGGTGACCAACATATCCAAAAATCACCCAGATCAGTTCAGGGGTTCAGGAATTTCGTGGAAGTTATTTATTTGACCGACAGCATGCATGGTCCCATGCCCAAAATAGTTCCAGAGAATCAGGGCTTGTGGTCGTTCTAGTTCAATAAACTACCGAACATAGTCAATGTTCTTACCCTGGAGCTTGTTCCCCGCCTCCAGAGGCCGCCTATGGGTGGGGGAAGGGGGGAGGAATAGGTCTCCCATTGTCATTTTTGGCCCCCACCCACTCATGATTGGGTGCGCGGGGTGGGGAGGGGACAATAGGTCCTCCCCGTGGGGGGGAGGTGGAGTGATGATGTAACACACCACGTGGTTATGATCACTGTGTTAAGGAGCCGAAAGAGTAAGGGAGCCTCCGAGTACCTGGCTGCTCTGGCGGCACCCGTAACGGATGCTACTAGAGGGTAGATCCGACTAGAGGTAAAAAATAACAATCTTGGCTGAAGGAGGAAGCTTGGCGCAATAACCCTTGATTAAAGGGGAAGGCTTGGTGCCGCTTGCACAGTCTGTGCTGCAGTTCAAGTTGCGAGGAGGAGCGGTGGTGGTGGCATGCAACAAGAGGTCCGAGAAGGACTATGGCCGCCGAATGAATAAAACAAAGGAAAGAGCGTGAGAGGAGACATGTTATAAATACTTAAAAGGAGACCTCAGAACAGATAAGTGAAATCAGTACACTATGTGTTTACAAGATAATTTGAATTTTTGCACCCTGTCACTTCTCTTACACAAGCAACTGTTAAATGAGACATAAATGTGGCATTGAAATGTTGAAACACTAAGTTTTGTTTTCTTTAAAAACAGGCCCCTATAGCACAGGTACTCATATACGAATCAATTGAAGTGCAAGTAGAGGGAAAAAATAATAAAAAATAAAGAAGTGAGAAACCCATCTGTATATATGTACATATTTTTCTTTTTTCTCCTTTTATTATTTGCGCTAAGAAACAAATAAAAGGATCAATTGTAATGTGATACACTTATGCAACTATAAACCTAGTGGTCACTTCAAAAGAACTTGATTTTTATATTCACAAAACAAACACCAAAACTAAAAAGGAGACGGAATGGCTGCCAAGAAATTAAACAGTTGACTAAAATTTCCTTTAAAAAACAAATCCTTAGAAAGGAAAAAGACACAAAGGTGGAGAAACGCCTTTCCTTTTTTTTCCACCACAGGTATCAAAACCAGAAGGAGAAAAATATATCCTGGAAGACCAATTAAGCAATAAACAACCAGAAGCTGAAGAAAGCTATAAAGAACGATCAAGAAGTCCAAATCTCAATCCAATCACTCTAGAATTACTAATGGAGGCGTTGGATCAACAATTTGTCAAAATTAAGATTGAATTAGAATTGAATATCAAGGATATAAAATTGGAGTTCATCATTCTCTGAAAAAAGGTAAAAGAAAATGAAGAATCTGGAACCAAAATGAGAACAAAATAACAGAACTGGAACGGAAGATAGCAGACCTGGAAGACAGATCCAGACTTATGAATATAAGGTTCAGAGGTATCCCGGAATCTGTCTTCGGTGAAAACCTGCCAAAATTCCCAGAAGATTTCATGATAGATCTGGGAATTGAGAAAGAAGGCTACCCACAGTATTCCCAAAGATGGCATAGGACATCAAAGACCCCGCAGTTGCCAGATAATATTCTAAGGGACATTCTTGTTTGGTGCTCATCATCCAGAATTAAGGATAATATCTTAAAATCCAGAAAAGAAAAGGTACCATCAACACTTTATACTACACCAGAATGAAGCGACACTCTTTTTCTACCTATACAGCAATACTCAGAGGAAAGGACATAAGATATAAGTGGAGATTTGCAGCTCAAATTTTTATATGGCACGACTCTAAATGGACACAATTTCAGTCGCCAGAAAAATTAAAGCTCTGGTTAACAGA